GCGGGTTGCCAGGCGGTGAAAATGCCCGAATGTCCGCCCCCGAGGATACAAAGTTTAAACAAAATCCGTCCATCCTCCAAGATCTGACTCCTGAAGTGCAGAAATGTTCAACATTATAATGGCTGTTCTGATCATTAAACAATTATATGTGCATATATGTGCAACATGATGGGTGATATATATTTAAAGTTTGAACTTGATTGGTCATTGCTCCAGCCTACAATCTTTGTGGTACCCACACTTAGAAGCCCCTCTATTCTGGAATCTATGTGGCATTCGAAATACCATGGAAAACAAATTAATGGTCATATGAAAATTCATCTGTGACTTGTACCAGTACTGTACCGAAATGTAAAAACCCACCTTTGATAGGCCGACGTGCTGAACCAAGACGCACATAATAATAAAACCGCACACATGTTACCCGCAGTGAGGACAAGAAGCCTTATGATAATATTTGAGAACTGAAACGATGCTAAGCTGCATACAAGTCCAAGTCGTAATAATAACAATCCATATTTTGTTTGTAAGAATCTAAACAATGGTCCGATGCCGCAGAGCAGTGGTGATATAACCCAGATAACACCTACAGCTTCATAACCGGATATTTCCATTACTTGAGTGGAAAGAACCAAACCATAGCAGGGAGGGGCATGTAATACGGTCCAAAAAACATAACCTGTAAAAACAACAAAAAACATTTTTAAGATACACATACAAAGATGGAAATCAACAAAAAATGGTAGAAATTTTATTATTTTGAAGCGTGGTGGTCGTCGCGCTGCGTATGTGTGGCATTTGTGTTGATAAACATTGATTTTCCCACAATCCAATGCGCTCTTCAAATGGAAATCATGAGTATGAGGTTTGACCTGGACGCGACCTGCATCAACCGCCGATGACTCCTTTGATACCTTACAATCACCTGCAAATTACCTTAGTAATTAAAGCTTGGAAATGTCTCAGTTCATACTCGTTGATCTGTCAAAGTCACCATCTTTGTTTATATGAGACCCATGTATCTCAAGCATGCGTGGCGCGATGACTACCGCCCTTTAATAATGACCTAGTGAATACTTGCCACCACATCTAAAATGACAACTGTTATATCTGGATTCTTATTTTGTATTTTTTTTTTTTTTAATTAATGAGCATCAGGACAATTACAGATCATCTTTTTTATGCTTTCATTATTAAAAATGGGTTGAATAAATTGAAAATCAAAACATTGGGGTCATTGGACAGTTCAGAAACAAGGGTCTGAAATATCAGCAATTTGCATTTTTACACTCAGGTCTGTTTCTATGATGAAATGCTTTGTTGTTGCTATTTCAGGTTTTTATCACTGATTATAAGGTAGAAGCCTACTCATAATTTTTGGGAAAGTTGGCCACAAATCCCATAACAATGTCCATTGGTTTATTAAGTGAAATCATGAAGCTATTGTCCCCTTGCACCATGGAATAGCATTATTTTGTGTTACAGTGTTTTAAAAAACTTGTCCTAATATTTTTAAACAAGCAGCCTGTCGGATGAGATAGCTCCGCTGTTAGCAATGCACATTTCAATTAAAGAACTGAAGATATCATTAAAAAATGAACAATATTTATAGTATCAAAGCAATCAAAAGCATTCAAAAATATCACTTTTTACCAAAAATTACAAAATGAATTCATTAAAATTAGTTAATGCTAAGAAACGACACTAGAGACCAAGTCTTGGCTGAGAGCAGAAGGGGGTGTGAGCCACGGTCAAGCGTCGTCCCCAAAACCTGTTCCGTGATGTGAGTCGCAGATTTGATTCACATCACGGAGAGATTAGCATGGTACTTGATCGAGGTCAGTCAATGCAGGGGTCACCACCCGACCGTCGTTGCAGATACCATTTCTGTGCACAGAGTTGCATGTTTGACTCTATTCACGAAGAATGGCAGCGTGTTAATCGAATGGTGCCAGCATGCACTGCGATGACAACCCCCCTTAACTTTATTGAAACAATGTAGAAATAATACAGGTTGAAGCAGGATTTGAATGCCTAAATTATGAGGTAGTGGGTGGGTGGGATAGCTTGGAGATGGGTTCAGGTCGCTTGCTGAAAGTAGAATGACTATGCTAAGGCGAAGCGGGATACAGGAAAGCTTGACGATTGCATGGCAAGTAGGATTAGGCAAATGACCGTCACAAGAGTATGAGCTTACAATATGCGTGTGAATGGAAATAGCACGGGTGAGGCGTGCACGAGATGGAAGGTCGCGTGCCTATGAATAGGGGCACATGTTGATGTCATGTGCAGGGGGATTACGACTGGCGTGTGTTGCGTAAGTCATGTGTTGATTAAAACTGAGGCTCGTTGCTGAGCATTAACAGACTATGCTGAGCATAATCATACTATTAATGCTAAGAAACGACACTAGAGACCAAGTCTTGGCTGAGAGCAGAAGGGGTGTGAGCCACGGTCAAGCGTCGTCGCCGAAACCTGTTCCGTGATGTGAGTCGCAGATTTGATTCACATCACGGAGAGATTAGCATGGTACTTGATCGAGGTCAGTCAATGCAGGGGTCACCACCTGACCGTCGTTGCAGATACCATTTTCGTGCACAGAATCGCATGTTTGACTCTATTCACGAAGAATGGAAGCGTGTTATTCGAGTGGTGCCCGCATGCACTGCGATGACAACCCCCAAATTATGAGATGGCCGGGAATGGCGCAGTGACAAGCAAGCCGAGGAATCGGTATAAATACATGTTGTGGCATAAAAGTACATAACTGTGATGTTGCTCTTGATATATAAAAAAACAAGAGTTGGTCGACATGACCTAAAGTGAAATAGATGATACAAACATGTCGAGGTAAATGTCTGAAGCGAAATATAGTTCATGTAAATAAATGTAATGAGGTAATAATGAGCGAGTACAAAGTTGGATGGTCGAAAATGGCACCACGGCATAACGCAAGTACGTGGATGTGGCAAACGAGATGCCAGTGTGAGAGTCACGTGAGGTTGAGAATCCACAGGTAGTAGGAGGAGGTGCCTAAGATGAATGTCCGCAGAGGATTCAAGGCAGGCTTGTAGCGTTGACGAAGGTGTGTCGATATACACTTGGTATGCGTCGCTTCGCCATCTTCTTGATTAACCAATCTGGCACATTCGCTTCTGCTGTGGTTGTTGCTGCCCCTCGTCTGAAGCTGTCAACAGGTCCAGCAAGTGGGTAGTTAGGCTTTGACGTGTAAGCCAACTCCCTGAGTGGAACTGGAAGGCAGGCGTTTGGGGTGAACGGGCACAGATGCTGCGATACTTGGTGTACGCACGAACGGCACAGACTGAGGTGAATGTGGGCACAATTTTGATGATGCAGCCATGACGAAATGGATCTGTTTTAGAGGCACGTAACTGGACGTGTAGCTCGATTGCAC